TTTAAGAGATTTTAAATAATTTCAAGTGAGTTCTAATCACTAAATTTTCCAGATTTCAAGGTGATGTTTTAGTGATGTCAAATGAATTCAAGGGATTTGATTGCGATTTCTATTGAATTCGAACGGATTGAAGGTGATTTCAAGTGAATTCGATGGAATTCGCGATATTTCTAATGAATTCGGAAGATTTCATGAGATTTCAGTGAATTCCGGTGATTTTCAAATGATCATTTCGAGGGACCGTACACCTGAATTCCAGAGTTGTGGGCCCCTCGGGTCGAACCGAAAGGACGTTCATCTCTAATGCAACACGCGGCAGGGCGACGAGCCGCTACACCGGAAACCCAAGGGTGTGAATGTCACACACTTCAAGGTGTGTGAACGACGCACGACAATCGTACACTTTGAGGCAAATGTGAGTGACAAAATGCTCCCCATTTTATCTTTGCGCGATAGAGTTAAACCAAAATTAAAAATCCGACAAAGTTGGAAAAAAACACCCACCGCCGTTCGGCCTGCCATTTGAAAGAGGAGGGGGAGGGGAGACTTTTCATTCTGGTAGAGACAGTCTTAGGGACTGTGGAAAAATTGACAAAATTTGTATAGAGTGTGAGTGTTTTTGCGAGCTTGAGACGTTCTCACCTGTTGGACACGTTGGACAGCCGCAGCAGCGCGTGCCGCGTGCGGTGCCGGAACAGGGAGATGGCCGCGACGATGAAGCCGTTGCCCAGGACCACGCTGAGCGACACGCACAGGTCGACGAGGAAGCGCACCGACAGCGAGGCGCGCCCGTCCAGGGGCGTCACCGTGGGGTCGTCCAGGCAGTTGGTGTTCATGGCGTGAGTGCGGCCACCCCGGGGGACCCGGGACCCGGGGCCCCGGCGCACGGCAGCATGCGTACCCGTCGACGGGGGACTCGGGGTCGGCCGCGAGCAGCCGGTGTCCCGCCGCCGCCCGCCGCTGCTGGACACCGCTCACTGGCACGCCGGTCGAGCGCGGCCGGGACGTGCAGGCCTAGACACCGCCGCCGCGCAGCGCTACAGTCGGACTCGGCGCCCAGCAGCTGGGCCGGTGCTTCCGCTAAACACGCTCCGGGCCGCTCCGGTCAGCGCCGCGAGGCGACAGCACGACGGGGCAGGGGAGGCAGGGGGTGAATGAGGAAGATCGCCACCGCCCAGCCCATCCCCGGTAATAGTAGGGTACTACTAAATTGCGAGTTTTTATCGGAGAGATGTCCAACTTCGTTTTTACGCGTTTTTCGATGTGGCGAACAAAATAAGGGGTGGAAAAACCCAATCCGAGAACATCAATTTTACCCTACATTTTCATGACCGCAGCCGACAACATTCCGACAGTACTCACCTCCTTCGCCGCGTCTAATGGTACCATAGAAGGGCAATTTCTTGCGAGTGGGTTAAAGCCCAGCCGAAAATTCCGGTTACGGTTACGGCTACGGTTACGGCTACGGTTACGGCTACGGTTACGGCTACGGTTACGGCTACGGTTACGGCTACACTCGTAAATTGGACCCATTTCCGGTTACGGTTACGATTAAAGTTCCGGTTACGATTACGTTTTCTGTTTCGTATACGATTACGGTTAGTC